TCCATTCAATTCAATGAATTTAGGGAAATCTGAGAGTTAATTTGTGCATTCACGATTAATTTGGGGCATTGTCGTTCATGGTTTAAAGAAACAATACTGGAAATTGATTTATGTTGCATATGTTTATGTGTGGAGAAGAATCCTCTAACTAGCCTATTTCACCATTCAATTCACTTAATTTCATATCTAGTTTGCTTTAGTTTACAATCTGTTTGATTTAATTAATTTCTTCCAAATCAATCCCCCTTTCAATTCAATGTCTTAGATTAGTTAAAAAGGTGTTTCAATCTGTCCAAATTAGTGTTTTGAGTCTCACTAGTGTTAAATTCGTCCAAATAGTCCTTAGAACCTGTTTTGAGTCTTTTTAACTTAGTTTTGCTTATTTGAGTGTTTTAGGTCAGTTTAGAGTCTATAGAGTCTAGTCTTGTGTTTTTAAGTCTAGTTTAGTGTTTTAGAGTTTAATTTAGGTAGATTAGCAGCCCTAGTTAATCCCCGGTTTAGAACGATCCCTACTTGCTTAATACTACAATTACATAATCAATAGGGTTTAATTTGTGTGTCAAGGTAATTTTCACATCAAAACTCAAACTAACGTTAGAACCCTGTGAGACTTGAGCCTATTCTTTGTTTGAAGAGTTATTAATATGTGATATTCTTGCTTTCTAAAGTCGTTGCATGATCTCATTATTTCTTTCCTTGGATGCTACTTGGAATGCTTTTTCATCATTTTAGTTCCAAATACTAGAACTCATGCTTGTTTCATTCAAAGCTTAAAATTGATTGCATAACAAGGAAAAGAAAAAAGTTGTTTAGTTACCACCAGAGCCAAAAAGCCTTATCCCTTGCGTATGTTTTGTAAGTTTAACCCCTTTGAGCCTTATTTAGCCTATTTTCTTTGTTAGCCTGCATTATCCCTACCTAGCCTGGCAGAGGAATATCCATACCCTTGTTCTTATCTTCAATTATTATTTTGACTTTTGGTTGAAGCTTTATCATTTTCTTCATGGTTGTTTTCTCTTAGTTCTTCATCGGATGAGCAAGAAGTTGATTCATTGTTTTGTTTAAATCCTTGTTCAATTAATTTTTGTGTTTGACTGAAGCTGAGATGTGATCTAATTTCTTGATTGTCTATTTTAAGGATTTTTATTTCTTTCTTAATTTTGTTTACTTTGTATTGTAAATCTTTAACTGTAATTTTCTTTTTTGGTTTATTAAATCTTTCCAAGGTTGTACTGAGACATAATTTACTTTGCGAAGTTGGCTGTTGGCAGGTGCTAGCTTCTTCTTGGCTTACTAATTTTTTTAATTATTTCAAGTAATGAGATTTTAATTCTGGATCATCGATTTTACTAATTAATTCAATTAATAAACCGTCTTGTTCTTCTTGTTTGTTTAAGACTGCAACAACTATGTCTGCAACCCATATTAATGTCTAGGGAGTCCAAGTTGTTTGAATGGTTTGACTATGAGGTGTTAGAATCGAATTCTTGTTCATTTTCACTTTGGTCTGTCTTTTAACTCTAGCACTTGGATTACTCGGTTTTCTCTTCTTCAGAAATTTTTAACTAATTAATTGTCTTTTTGACTATGCATTTGTTTGCTTAGTGGCCAGCTTACCACATTTATAACAATTACCTTTGTTTTGATCTTTGGAATAATTTTTACTAAATGATTTTTTTCTTCCAATTTTTGTTAGGTTTACTTTTTTCATAGAATTTGTTGGTGTTAAAATTCTGATATTTATTTCGTTTGTCATACTTGTGATATCTTTTATTGGGTATTTACAGGGATATCTTTCTACTCTTTTCTTTTTACTAGAAGGAGCAATGAGGGGTAAACCGTATTGTTCACAAAATGTTCCTAACTCATATTTGGCTATTAATTTATCTTTGTTGACTTGTTTTGTTATTTTCATATCAATATACATTTGTAATCCTTCCTTCTGGATAATATTAATAATATTTTCATAAGTAAACGTATTATATGGTATGATACCTTCTTCATTGACTAAAACTTGCCTAATTTTGTGTGCAAATAAGTTTGGTAATCCATTTATGTATTTTTCTTTCCAAAATGACTCTTTACTGTCTTTCTGTAAGCATTACCCTAGACATGAAAACGTCTTTGTACCACCTAAAATCGCTTAAGGTGGGGCATCTTAGATTACTTAGTTGATCATGTATTTCGGAGGTTACGTTACTTGGTGTTCCTATGAAGTGTTCAATTATTGTGAAGAGTAATGTGTTGAGTGCGTCTGGGACTCCCATACCAATTCTTTCATCAAATATAAGGGTTCCATCTTCATCCCTTTTTATTGCATGTTTTATTACATTATGGATTGTTCAGTGAGATGTTTTTCCCACCAGGAATGTAACATTCATGTAAATCCAGTGACTAAGAGATCAACAACTTCTGGTTGACTGAAATTATGATTGGTAACATAACTGTTACCAACCGTAGATACATGTTGTAATTTGTTTAGAATTTCTTGTTCTGATAAACCATCTATATTCCACTCATAGAGTTTATCTACCAACACTAAGAATCGACTTTGGAAGTTTCTTTCTTCAAATTGAATACCCGGAGGTGTTGGCCTTGGATACCAATTCTTGGTAAGACTAGTTGGATTTATTTTGCCTTTCGTTTTTATTCTTTTTAATTTGAAATTTTGGAAAGCTTTTTCCAATTTTTCAATTGCGTTACTGTCTTCTGATTCTAAGTTTTCAGAGGCTGTTTCTGATTGTGATGTTTTGTTCCCTTTCTAATTTCTTCAACATTTTGGTCTATTTTTTCACTAGTTGAGTTTGTCTTTAGAGCTAGTTTACTAGATAAGCACTTCAGAAATTTACTAGGGATTTTTCTTTTGTTATGATTTTTTGTTGTGGTAGTTTGTCTATTTTACTTTCAATTTTTTTAACTATTTTCCTATGACAAGTAAGCTTTGGTTTGTGAAATTGTTTCGTTCTATGACTGGTTTAATTCATGCATCTTCTTTAGGGATTTTACAGGGTGTGGCTGTTACTTTGTATTTGAGGTGGTGATTAGTATTGTTTCTTGTGGAGGGTGACTCGAAGAAATTAATGTTATGTCTTGTTTAACCCAATTTTCTTTTGTGATTACTTCAATTTTCTTTTTTTATTCATAATATTCTTCAACAAAATCAAAGAAGAATATAACAATCTTGTGTTTATTCATAAAAATTTTACATTTTTCGTAAATATCTAATTTTTTATCTTGGGTGTAACTTTGTCTGAATCTTTCTCTCCTTGCTATATTTTCTCCTGCTTTGATGTCAACTTTTAATGATTTCCAATGTATTTTAAATGGCCTGTTTAAAACTAATAATTGTTGGTTTACTTCAAAATTAGTTGTTGTTGGTGAAGTCAGATCATCTTGAGTTTGGTAGTTTTGGTTTGGACTTGGTTTTCGTAGCAAGGGTGAGCAACCTGAGAGTTTGTCCTAACTGATTTGAGTCTCATATTTATTAAATCATTAATTAATTTTGGTCATGTTCTAATATGTATGTTGAAGTAGATCCTGAAAAAAGAATTTCTAACTGGTTCTTTAGACCTAGTTGATTGACTTAATTCTTGAAGTTGGACGCTCGACTTCCTAGTAGGAGTGTTGAAATTGATTTTAACTGTACCATCAAAGTATTATTCTATGTTGTCTAGATTGACTAAGTTGTATAGGAACCAATCTGATAGTAAACTGATGGTAAACTGATGTCTAGCCATTTGATGGTTCTGGGTATTTTGATATTGGCATTTTCTTGACTACTTGGATTAATAAAGTGTGTTTTCTGGGACTTTTGGCTATGACTTGGAAGTTCATGTTTACAGTTGTGCGCTTGTAATGGATTTTGAAAATTAGAGCTAATGGTTGGACACCTTCCAAAACTTGATAAACAGAGGCTTTTATGTTTAATGTGAGTGATTTTAACATATGTGGGTCTGTTAGGCTTACTGTGAGATCTGGGAAACAATTGAAATGGATTGGCCCGTTATATAGGCTTGACTCGATTATTCCAATAATGTTATCACTAAAGTCAGTGAATCTTGCATCTCGGAGAGAAAACATGATAGAGGTGTTGAGGCTGCTTGTTGTTAATGATTTTATTGCGATCTGTAAAAGACCAATGTGACTGTAATTATAACCGTATTTTCTATGAGCTCTTATTTGTTCTACTGTGAATAGTTGGCAGGTTTCATGTTCCTTACTGAGAGCATAAGCTTGCTCAACTGTTCATACATGGTGTTCACTTTTAAATGAAGAGGATGACCATTTTTACCTATAAATTTCTTTACTGGATATTTTGGGAATATTCCAATCTCCAAAGTTGACACATTCATTTGACTGAAATTCTAACTTTTGTTCTTCATTTACTATGTCTGGGATGCTATTTAAATTGGATCTAGAGCTAGTACTGGCATGTGAGTTTTTCCTAAATAGTCAACTCATTTTGTCTAGTTTTTGGGTTTATAGTTATAAAATAAACTTCTACTTATTGGAACTCTAGACTTACTAGGTTCTCTCTCTCTCTCTCTCTCTCTCTCTCTCCTCCTGCTCCGCTCATGCCACATTCTCAGGACTTATTGTTTAGACTCAAGCTCTTCTGGTTTGGTTTGAGATCAGAAACTCAGACAGTTAAGAAACCAATGAACATATAAAATATTGAATTATTGCAAACACCAAAAACTAGGTAAGATGAATTAACTATAAATTACTTACTCAATTACCAATCACTTGGCTCTAATACCAAATGACGATATACCTGATGAGTATTTGTCTGGCAATAGATTTGTTTACTAGACGACAAATGAGATAAAATTGACTAGAATAGATTGATAACATGAATGTATAGAAATCTGGCCATGTGTCTATTTTGTGAATAAGATAAGAAATAAATACTTCAATTCTTTAATGACTAAGATTGCTAAGTAAAACAAGATCATACACTATGATGAAAATAATGAATTAAAATTAATGGTAGCATATAATTACTGAAAATAGATTTTGAAATCACTTCCTTTGTTAATCAAAAGACTTACAAATGTTGACTGTGGTACAATTTACTATATGGATTGAAAATTGGTGCATTCAGACATCCTTCTTCTTCCAAAAATAAAAGTGTTTACAATGTTTGATTTCCTTATATACAATGAGAACTCAAAGAAAATTTGAACTGAGGAAAAGATGTGCAAATTAACTTGCTTTCTTTTGTTTTCGGATTCTTCTTCTTATAGACTTTGGAAAAGGGGACTTAAATGATTGAGTTTTCTACTGTTGAAGCACGAGATGGTAGATGACTTGTTTTTATTGTTGATGAATGGTAAACTATCTGAATAATTGTTGTTTTTACTGTAGAACATGTTGAATGATTCCTCACTTTTACTGTGCGAATAATATCTGAATGCTTCACATGGTGTCTTGATTGGGGTGAAATGATGACTGAATTCTTCAAATGGTGACTGACTGCGTTCACATGACTTGAATTGTTGTTTCACATGGCTTTATGCAAATGGGTCTTGTGCTTCATGGTAGTCACTCTACCTGGTGCTTTGACTGTTTAGCTTTGCTGATTGCTATGATGATGCATCAGATGATTCAGAGGAAGTTTCTTTTTCATCTTCATATTTTAATTGTAATTGTAACTGGGTTACCTGTGATTGTAACTATGCCGTTTGAACAAGAAGTTTTTGACCAAGGTCTTCAATTTCTACAACTTCGTGCTTTGATTTTGATGAGTCGGAAGACTTTTGACTTTAGAGAATATGCTGGAGTAAATAATTGTCAGCAAAAGTGAGCCAAAAGTGGGTCAAATTTCTTGCAGCCTATCTTCATCTTCTTCAAACTGCACGGTCAACAACTAAAAGCTTTGAGATTTCAACAAAAAACAAAATTCTAGATTTCTGCAACTTTTAAACAGAAAGGGAATGACTCAAACACCCTGATGAGCACCTGCCCTACAAAGCCTAGGCGAGTTTTTCGCTGCCTCCACAAAACGGAGGCGAGTTTGAATATGCGATAAATGTAGGATTACTAAAAAATGCGTTTGATTTGTAGAAAGTAGACCTAGGAATGAGAAACAGAACAGTAAAACTCTAAAAAGGATCAAAGTAAATGCCATGCCGGAGTGACGATGAACAGAATGAATCCTCAGAAGCTCTATACCACGTGCAGCAAACAATGACAGACGCTGCATCAGTATCCAGCTTCCACTAGCAAATCCCTATAGTATACTGACAAAGTTTAGAAACTAAAACTATAAGATAAATCCGACATGGGTAGTTTGCCAAATCTTGTGTGTGATTATAACGAGTTGGAATACCATGTCAAGAATGCTGTTGTGTGCTTATACCGAGAATTGTCGTTTTATAATGGAATCTCAACTTCCTTGGGTTTTTAGACGTAAAACCATGTCAAGAATGTTGTGCTACCACTCGACAATCAATCAATCAACAAATCTGTTCGAAGCACTTAGCTTTGCCTCATATCACAACATTTCAACAAATTTCAGCTTATTCCATATAACAATAGTTAACACTTAATGCTGCTAATGAAATTTTATCAGAATGTAAGAATTTGCAGTTTACAGTAAAAAATGAATCGCCTAATTGTGATGTCTAGGGTTTCTCTCTTTTCTGCCAGAAGAATTCAGAAGTTTATCAACTAATCTGTAATTCAGTTCCACGGGAAAATTACACTTTTAAATACAAATATGTTACAATGTCACCAAAACACTTAATTAGCCATCAAAAGGAACTGTTCAAACTTAAATTAGAGAAAAATATGAGGCGACGATAACTCACCGGTCACCAATAATCTTTGCATGAGCACTGACCACTAGATATACAATGAAATCCGGAAGCATCCCTGACATAGATTGCTCTTCTTGTGACAATCGACATGTATTTCAAGAACGCGTGGCAGTCACCACAAAGAAGGATATTCTTCACTACGCGGATTGGTTTTCCAGGCTTCGTGGTCAGTAGGCCATAGGTCGCTGCTAACTTTGCACTGTGATAGTACAAGAAATCTTTCTTCTGGTGCTCTTCTACTTCATGAAGAACAAAGCTTGTGTCTGGCACATAACCGGCTTTTATGCACTCTAAAATGAGTATTTCCAATCCACTATATATGTCTTTTGCTTGGGGATGGGATTTATCTCTTGCATAGAATGGATGTATCTTGTTATGAACGATCCAACTTTGACTTGGGTGCTTCCGGAACCCCTTTTTCCTCATATCCTCCCTAACCATTTCGGAGCAGTGCCATCTCCCAGATGCCGAGTAGAGATTTGATACAAGTATGTAGGCAGATGGATCTTTGGGCTCCATGGCAAGGATACGTTTCACAACCCTTTTTCCAATGGTTGTATTTGTTTGGATTCTACAACTGTCAAGCAAAGCTCGCCAAACAATAAACTCAGGCTCAAAAGGCATCTTACTGATTGTTTCCTCTGCTTCATCCAGTAGACCCCAGTACCCTAGAACACCAACAAAGGAGGCAAAGTGCTCTGAGGTGGGTTCGATGTCATAAACAGTTTTCATGGAGAGAAACAAGCTACGACAAGCGTCAACTAAATTGGATGTAGTGTGTCTGTATGCTGAAATAATCAAAATAAAAGTAATCTGATCTGGTTTTATGCCAGTCTTCTCCATATTTGACCAGACAGCCAAGGCCTCATCGCCCTGTCTGTGGAGAAGATAACCAGCAAGCAAACCATTCCATGAAACTATGTCATGAGTGGGCATTGTATTGAACAACTTGACTCCGTCTTCCATGTTCCAACACTTAGTGTACATGCTAATTGTGGCATTTCCTACTCCTAGATCAGTTAGAAAACCGCACTTCAAAGCATGGCAGTGGATTTGTTTCCCCAGTTCATATATCCCTAAAGTTCCACAAAGACCAAGTAGTGAAGTGGATAAGACTTCATCCATAACCATTCTTCCTTCAGATTGATGATGGTGGAAAAGAGAAATTGCCTCGTCCAGTTGCCCATTTCGAGAATATCCACCAATCATTGATGTCAAAAGTACAGAGCTATCCTGCTCTGCCGGCCACCGATGAAACAACTTTTTTGCATCTGTCATCCGACCACACCTTGTATACATATCAAGTAATGCAGCTTCAATACAAGCATTTGACCCAAAATCAAACTTGATAATGAACCCATGGATTTGCTCACTGGTTTTACAATCCCTAAGCAAGGCACAAGCGTTAACAACACTAGTCAAAGTGAAGTCTGTCATCTCCATTCCCTCCTTCAACATTTTTGTAAATAAATCCAAAGCCCCCAAGCCTTCACCATTTCGACAAAAACCAGCCAGTACAGCATTATGAGAAACAGAATTCTGCTCGGGCATGTTATCAAACATCTTGATAGCCAAATCTACCAACCCAAATTTCATGTAGGCTGTAATCATTTCTGTCCACGTAATAACGTCCTTCACAGGCATCCTCGCAAACAAAGCATTCACACCGTTTACACTACCACACACAGCATAGAACCTAATAAGGGCATTGCTAACACTCAAATTGGCCTCTAAACCAATTTTGATAGCATGGGCATGAACCTCTTTACCTTCTCTGAAAGCATTGCTCCCAGAACAGGCGGTCAAAAGGGTTGAAACTGTGAAATGATCGACTCCAAACCCCTCCGTTTGCTGCAGTTCACGAAACAACTCAAATGCTTCATCATACATAAACTCCTTCGCTAAACTCGACATAACAGTATTCAAAGACGCCGAGTCTCTCTCGGGCAATTGATGAAACAGTTTAAGCACATAATCCAAACAGCAACATTTACCATACAAACCCATAAGCGCATTCGAAACAAAAACATAATCCAAGTACCCCAATTTGACCACCAAGGCATGAACTTGCAAACCCAAATCCAGCTCGAGAACCCGAATACAAGCAGTTAAAATTGCAACAAAGCTGTACTCGTTGGGCATAATACCCGAATTCCTCATCCGGAAGAAAAGCTCCACAGCCTCCTCCTCTCGACCCGCCTTGGAAAAACCCGAAACCAAAGTGGTGAACGACACAACATTTGGGCAGGAAAGGCTTAGGAAAACCAGGTGAGCATCCGAAACAAGGCCCAGTTTGAGATAAGCTGAAATGAGGGCATTGCCAAGATGGGTATCTTCTTGAAGCTTGAGAATTGATGCGTGTACGGCCCTGGCGAGCTCTCGGTCGCCGTGACGGGCGGAGAGGCGGAGCAAATGGATCAAATGGTGGAAGAATTTGTGGGTTTGGTGGCGGTCATTGGGAGGGTTTGACTTCAAGAGGGGTTGTGGGGATGGGAGGTACTGGAATTGGATTTGGGTTTTGAGTTTGGGGACTGAACTTGGAGAAGAGAGAGAGAGTGAGAGAGAAGGGTGAGGGTTTAGTGAGGGTTTAAGAGGAGGAGGAGAAGGGGAGTGAGAGAAGGGGCGTAGGGGAAGAGAAGAAGAGGAGGGAGGAGGGGGAGGAGGTACGGAGGCAACGGCGGCGGTGGGTTGGATAAAATTGATGGTGTTCATTTGTACCGAGGTGGGCGACAACGACCATAACCATATAATGTCAGCACAGAATAACAGATGGCGTCGGGACGAAGCTTAACCTTGCTTTGGATACTGGAATTCACCGGACATCATTGATATTGATTTGGTAAGAGCAAGTTTATCCCTAAAAAATAGTTGATCCAAAGTCTATTTAATCTATCCAAATAAATAGTAATTGATTTTAATGAACAGTAATTGGCTAAATGCATCATCATCCCTAAAAAATAAGCTAGCCCAAAGTCTAGTCAATTCGTATTATAATATTATTAATTATTTTATAAAATATAAATAAAAAATTTATTTTTAATTTTGGATAGAATTTTTAACCAATCTTTAACAATTTTTGTTTTATTTTTCTGTATTTTTAAACAATTTTTAATAATTTTATTAAGTTAATTAATTTGGACCGTTGGATTTTAAAAAGATTGAAATCCAATAGCCCAAAATTGGACACATGGCCAATGGTAATAATTCTGGCATTTTCCTTTTTTTTTATAAGTTTTTTTGCTGAAAAATTTGGACCGTTGATCTAAGAATCAGATGGCCCAAATTTTGCCACGTCACTAGCCGTTGGGTTTAAAATTCAAATTTTTTTACCATTGAAAATCCAACGGTTTAAAAAACTAGCCTTTGGAAATCCAACAGCTGTAGCCAAGCCACGTGGCCCATATTCTGAGCCCCTTTAGTGGGCCTGTAGTGTGGGCCGGCGCCTATTGCCTTGTCAAGGATACGAGCCCACACACCTGACGCAAAAAAAATAAAAAAAAATCAGTTGTTCACTGACGTCAACATGACGCCAAATAGGCCGATTCCTACCACAGTCCATTTTGGGCCAACCTACAAACTAGCTTGGACTTTGCGCTGGCCTATTTTTAGGGGTGGAGTGGATTTTTTTGGGTACCAACTTATTTTTTTTAGGCAATGGGTCAGCCTAAATGATAGGGCTAGAGTTGCTCTAATGCTAATTTTGTTTGGAATGAAATTGAATATGTACAAAAGGGGTGGGTGACACTGAGGAATGACGATGAATGAAAAATGGCCAATAGCTATCTACAAGCTGTAGCATAAGAAAATGGCACTTGCAATACTTTCATCTTTTCCATTTAATGCATTGTATGCCTTTTAGAGCATTTCCAACGTGGGCATTAGCCTTGTGGACAGGTTGCTCCAGTAACCCAAATAGCCAACCCAAGTAGCTCCAGCCCATTCGGGCTATTAAGTTGAGGGGGAGCCCGAGAAAGAGCTCAAGTGCAAGTCCAAGGCCCGAGTGCCTGAGGGGGGAATGATGCAAGGCCGACATCAGCCACATTATAAAAAATAAAAATAAAAAATTGGGCAGGCGCGTGCAACACACATGCACGTGGGAGGTGCATCACCGACAGCCTTGCTGTAATACCCTAAAATTTTAAATATATGAATATGTGGAGAAAAATTGAGAAAAAAATCGATTTATGGTTATGAAAATAAATAAAAATAAAAATTTCGTTCTGGGGGAACGATCTCACTTCCTTCCGTCTCTTCCACCCATTTTTGCTGGACTCTTTAGGCGGAGTGCCAATCCCCATCATCTTCATCATCTAAGCCAAATTCGTTTCCCGAATTACCGAAATCACAACATGTGGAGCTTGGTGAGCAACATTCTGCCCTTGCATGTGAGGATTTATGTTGGGTTTAAGTACAAACCCACCACACCGAATCATTCCGACGAATCTGAGTTCAATCTTGAGGGAATTAGATACTGCTGATCAGAATTCATATGCGCAGTCAACAAAGTGAATGGACACGCCAAAAAAGTAAGGGCTTCATCTCTTACTCCTAATGTTTAACATTTTAATTGAATTTAAGAAAAATTTAATGTGATGAGTTGTTCTATTAGCCATTGAAGGCATAAAAAGAAAATTTTATATCCTACCATATATTGTAGGAATGTTATGAGCACTTTTGTTCAGGATGTGGTTTTGAAAATTGGGTTTTTCACCTTCACGTCAAATATCAATTGGAAATTCTATGGAATCCCCTCCCACTCCTCGCAGTTTTTACCATTTGCATATGATATGTTCATGCTGTTTCTATGTTATTTAATGTGAAAAATGGTTTAATGTAAATGAGGAAGAATTAAGTATGATATGGGTAAGCTAGCACATAGAAATAAAAGTTAGATATGATTCTTGGATAGTTTGGGATTGCCTGGAATTGCAAATCGGATTAAAGGAGTATGGGTTTAACATTTCAGAAAACTTGTTCATTTGCAGAGAGAAACTATGTTGCAAGTAGCCTACTTTGGCTCTTGATTTCTATGTCCTTGTGAGTTCCTTTCTATCTAATATTGTGGGTTTTGAAATTAGACATGTCTGTGATCAAAACCCATATGATTTCACTAAATTCTGTTGAATTTTGATTGATTAAACATTATGTCCAAAGTTGACACAAGGCTGCCAGACAGCAGCAGAAAACTGGATTTCCAGTTTCAAGACACTCTTTTCTTTTTGGTGTAACTTCCAATTTAGAGCTCTATTTTCTACAAACTTTGTATGCCTTTAAAGTTCAGAAAACAAACCTTAAAACCCATATAATATTATACACTTTGGTTTAGTTTTGAATGTTCCAAAGGGAGCCTAAACTAGTTCCAATAGTGTTGTTTTTCTTCAGATTTTGTCGAGACATGTTGTTCTAGAAGCACAATGACGAACTACGAATGGCTTGATCCCTTCGTAGGGTACGTAGGCAGTCTAACGAGGAGGTTAGATGCAGCCATAAAGCAACCCAAATTTAGTATTGTACTTGATTTCTTTAAGGAAAGAAATTTATTAAGCTTATTAGCGTAGAGTTTAGCTATGTTTTATTTCGGGCCTATCTTAGTAATTGGCTTCCGAATTAGAAATTTCGGGTCGTTACACTTGCAGGCGATGGGGCCGCGTGGACAAGGATGTCTGTAGCTGTTGCTAGAAGCACAGAAATGTAAGGATTAACAATAGGTCGTTGGATGTCAATGGCTCTTTTTTCTGGATTGTTGGATTTCCAAGGGCTAAAAAAAATTCAAACCTCCCCTAACGGCTAGAGGACATGGTGCAATTTGAACCGTTCAATTACTAAATTAACAGTCCACGTTTGTTTACTTTAAAAAAAATTAAAAAATAATAGGAAAAAATCTTATATGTTACCCTTATGCCATGTGTCACAATTTGGATGGTTGGATTTCAAAAATCTGATATATTATTGTTGTGCCACATGTCACAATCTGGAAGGTTGGATTTCAAATTTTGTGTAATCCAACAATGCAAAGGAAAGGGGTCCTTCAAATTGGGACTGTTATTATTTTAGTCCCTGGATTGTTTAATTAATCAATATCATTCGTAAACCATCATGGGATGACTCACTAGTTGGAGACGAATTTAAATATTTCACAGGGCACATCTTGGGTTCAATTCTTGGCACTAGTGAATCACATGATGGTGGCCAGGGGAGGTTGAAATGCCTCTACGAGTCTTTCCGGCCCCCAGAATGGTGGACTACTACGGCAAAACCACCAACTGGTCCCTTTTTTTTTTGAAAAAGAAAAAAAAAACATCACTTGTGAAATTAACTACTGAAGTGACTAAGGACACAAATTAGTGTTGAGCAGGAAACATGTTATATGACTTGTACGCTTGGTTAGGGTTAATCCGAAGTGACTAAGGGCGCTTGTCAATTTTGCAACCTGTCGAGACATATGTTGTTCACCATTCAGGGTGAAAGAGCCTGGATGGTATGTTTCTCTATGGGTGATGGAAGTGTAATAGACTTTGGGTGCGAGATTAAAGCCAGGAATGATCAAATTTGCAGAAAGTCAGGATGAAAATACCTTATGTTCAATCGTCGGTCTAGAAATCTGAAGTCGGGACAATTGAAATGGTATTGAATCGGTATGGGTCATCTGCTGGGCCACGGAATGAGCTGAGCCACGTGCGTGGGGCTGAGGCGCGTGCAGGCGCATGGACACTCAGCCTTGGTTCATCTTGGTGCGTCTTGGCGCTGCAAAATGGCTTGGGCCTGGGGTTGGCACTGCTCCATGGCTTGGGCCTGAGCGTGCTAAGTTGCTGCTGCTGGCATTTGGGTCTAGGCTGTTATAGTGGCAGCGAATTAGGCCGCCTCTAAGGCTTAGGTCTGAGTTGCCTCTGGCGCTTGGGCTGCAGCAACTGCTCTCCATCATGGGTAAAGTTTTCTCTGTGGGCCACTGCAGCAGCTGTTGCTGGCATGGCCACGGTGATACCGGTGATACTACCACGATTCTTGTCGCAGTGAGCCTCGAAGAGTGACGGCGTGCAAAACAAGCTAGTCAAGTCGCATTAATATACTCCTATCAGTCTTCTTCGAGCGTTTGAATCAAGCTCTCAATGAAAGCACCAATTTGTCAATGCAAATTTCCGTCATTCTTTGCTTTGACGAATATACACTTGCAAAACAATCAACACCTTTGATCAAAGACCAAAAGCCTCACCTACCCCAGATAAGTGGGGGGTGGTTTGGTCAATGGATCTTTGATGCCAAAGTTAGTCTCTTTGCAAAGAGTGAGTCTTTAGGGTTTTCTGTGTATAGAAAAACTCTACCATTTTTTATGGAGAAATAGGGTATTTATAGAGGAGGTGGCCGGCCATTAGGGTTGATTTTGGTGAGAATATTCCAAAAATATTTTGTAAATAATATCTTGGAAATAATAGTAAATATCCTAGAATAAAGGTGATTGGGATTACTTACTTGATAGGGTTTGCCTTCAATTAGGATAGTATTTAATGATAGGTTTTACCTTTGAATTTTTCATGTATAGTGGAGCTCAAAGTAGTCGTAGTTTGTTGCCTGCATGTTCTAGGATATTGAGTTGCGCGTGGGATGCCTTGCTCATTCAATAAAGGCAATCTCGTCTTTCTTAGCTAAATGCCCACGTGTCACCTTTAGGATTTTTGATATTATTTTTTGCTCCACATTTACAGCTTGAGTTGTAGAATTGAGTTGGTGGTTATGTGTTGGGTTTGGAGGTGATGGCGTGATAGGGTGATAGGTGGTGGTGACCGGTAGGTGGTTCAAGCTATGCTTCCATGACCTTTTATGATTTTGGAGACAAAGTAAGCCATAGT